TCACTTAAATTTAAGATCGTGGGACCCAGTGATGCTAGTTTGTGCTTGAGGTCGCCCTCTAGTATTGCAATATGTTGACATATCGCGTTCACTTGTTCTTACAACTCTACTAAACGATTTTTCTCAGATATCAACACTTTTTTTTCATCCTCCATGCGGTCACGTAAGTCCTTAATCTCAATCACCATCTGCTCCCTGGCTCTGTGCAACCTCACCCGCTTGATCACACCTTCAACCCAGCTTACCTCGACTTAAGCCCTCCTTTAGGTTTGCAAGAAGGTGCTCGAGGGACTCAAGTTCCTTCTCGCCCATATGTCTCTCCCTAGCTTTACGAAATGTCACTACCAACTTGAACAAAGCCTTATAAATAAAATCCAGAAAAAGAGGCTCAGCCCCCGTCAAGGTTCTCGATGGTGTCAGGGTGCTTATTTTTCACATCACTTAACACTGTCACCCCTTTTGGAGAAAGGAGTGTTCCCCCCCCCTACGAGACTATCAAGGGACCAGTCGAGGGAGCGGCATTTTCTGCTATTACTGAAGAATTGGGGGCCGGCAAACGAGCATCACCTTCCTCAAGCACATTTTGACCCCCCATCTGCCAAACCCTTGTCTCCACCATCATTCCCACTTGACGAGCCACTCTGACTCGAGGCACTGTCCCTCGGAGCTAGCAGCACTCGAACCCTCTATTCCCCCCGAGTTACTCTCCTCAGGTAAAAGAAGAGACTCGATGGTTTTTTTAAGTAGTTGTTCTATATCGCGAAGAGGCACCTGAGCAAGCTCTTGAACCACCTCGACCGAAAAACCCAAACCACTGTCATCCCCTCTGCGATCTGAATGCCTACCCTCCGAATTAGTCGCAGCACCCCCTTCGACTGTTAGCTCGCCCACCCCCTCGACACCTACAAAGCGAAAATAGTTAGAATAAATAAGATAAAATAAGGACTCAACACCAAAAAAGGCCCATACATCTATTAGAGGGCAACTGGCTAAGGCTACCCTCAGAATAAAAAATGCCAATGAAAGCAGGATCTACAGCAGTATTCATAACGTTGGTACTTTAATAAAACCTGCCCAAGCCTCGTGCTAAAGGTATGAGTTCTTTCCCTATCCAATGCTGCGAGCAATGAAGGGGCAGACGAGAGGGGTTTAGGTTCGATGATAGCACCTCCCTTGCGGCCTGTTCAGGGTCACTAAGGACACTTAAAAGAGTATGAAGAGCATCCGAGGGAACATCTAGACCTCCGAGGAAGGAAGTGCATTAACAAAAGTAAAGTAACCACAAACATAAAAAGAACTCAAAATCAGAACCACTTACCCTAACTCGCTTTGAGGAGGTGGTTATAGAGGCAAGCACAAATGTGCTAATGTCTCGATCAGCCTTATGTTTATTACGACGAGGCTTGGTATCCTAAAGAGCTATCACTGGCACAACAGCATCAGATAGCGTCAAAGGACGCAAGTTTGGCGTACCACAAGGTTTTCCTCAAACGGATGCGCTGCCATTCTTAAAAGAACGAAACGAGGCATCACCCTTAAGCAAAGGACAAACATGGACAGAGGCGGGATCGCTGCATATATATTGCTTAAAAGCAGTAACAATTTCCTTCCAATACACCCTTGTCCCCACAACCAGCGCCCCACCCTCGATTGAAAAGGAACATAAAGGATACAACGATCCCCTACAAGTTATGCACCTTTTGAATCAAGGAAGCGAGAGAACCCCAACGCATAGGTACTCTGGTCCTGACGAGCTCCGTAGCCATAATCCTTGGAAAGTCCCTGGTCCCACCCAAATTGCCGAGCTACCTTATGAGGATTATAGACCTTCCCCACTCTAGAATGTGAAGGAAGAATAATAAGAAGATAGCCCACGGAGGACATAGCAAAAATGGTCGAAGCAGGATGGTGATTAAAGGCATGCCATCCCTCGATGTGTTATAGTCAATTCAAGGGCCTTGGATATAGGGACAAGCCATAAAGCACCTCTCTCTATCAATGAACTCGGCAAGCTTTTTCTTCGGGGCATGTTTGTGCCACTGAAAGGATCGCTTTAGTCCACTATCGTGCAGTAAGGCAGTGGGGCGAGAGGCGTAACCAAGAAACTATTCATAGAGGAACATCGGCGAAAAGATGGTGTTGATAGGAAACACCACACTCATACGGCCCACAGATCACTCCATGCGAGCATAGGCTAAATCAAGCTCATGATAAAGAGTACCTAAGAACAATGCAGCCAAGGGAAGACTCGTGCCGCGAGATAGCCTTATGGCTAAAGGAACGAGGTCAAGGCAATGACCATCATTAGGAGGATCCAAGAAGATAAACCGAGAAAACCAGGATAAAAAAAAGCTAACAAGACAGAGATGGTCCCTGCTCATAGGCCATTAAAGGATTGTTGCCCTTCCAGCTCGCAAGGATGAATATCTTGAAAATAGTAACAGAGGATTGATACAAAGGTGCATTTATTCCCTGTCTCGGAAAACTCCTCACAAAGGCCATCAGCTTGGAACCGAGTAGCAATTTTCCTGGCCGAGGTAATGGCACGTCGCAAGTCTGCAGCCTTCTCAACCTCGACCTCATGAAGAGACCAAGAGATAGGGTCATATTTGCCGAACATGTTTAAACACATGAGTTGTACCACGTCCTCGAGGGTGGGTGTGAACTCCCCCCAAAAGGTAACAAATGTATGAGTCTCTCTACTCCATCGAGATATGAGAAAGGAGAGACCAGGGCCATCTCGATTGATAATCAGCTGACGAGTATTACGAACGTCCACAAGTCCCACCCTAGGTTATGACCAGTCTGGCTTATAAAGACGAGGTTAGAATGAGGAAAGTCACTTTGCTCTACTCTAAGCCTCAACACCGAGTTAGGAGAGATTAGTACTCCCTTGCGCGCATAGGGTTCCCCTTAGAAAAGAAAAGAACCCTCCTGAGCCTCATCAACATCAACCCATCGTTATTAGCCCAGAGGGTGCTCGACCAAAGGGGAACACTAGGATTGTCAGTGCGCGTTGCTTGAGACATATTTTAGGAGCTCGAATTAAGTAAGAATGGTTAAGCAAAGAGTTGAACCAAGAGAATGAAAGTTTTTCTGAGAAAATGAGACAAGTGTGGCTTAAATAGTAGGTGCCCTTCATCCCAAGCGTCGCACCTTTGACAAGTGAAAAGACGCGACGCAGAACTCGAAGCGTCACGCTTTTTGATGCACCAATAGGAAGTTGACACGTTGACCTAGAGAACTGAAGCAACTTGACCTTTCAGTACCAAAAGTTAAATGACACCTTCGAGGAAGAGTAATGACTTACTCAAGCTCCTTCCTCGCGACCTCGAGCAGGGAGGCAAAATGTTGTAAAGGTACCACGACGCTTACTCGCATGGCATCATTTCTGAAAAAAGACACACATGGCCAATATCCGTCTAGCGTGTCCTTGAAAGGACAAAGTGATCTCGAGCTACTTGTCCTATGACTGAATTTACTGAACGAGGAAAGGGTCACCACCCTTCACTCCTCTGTGGAGGTGCCCCTCTCCAGTCAGATAGGTCCTCCACTTTTATCACTTTTGAGGTTCCCTCCTGCAGACGAAATCTTGGACATTTTATGCCCCACCTCGAGCCCCCTAAACTGAAAAGGCCTCAAGGATTAGGGCCAGAATGAAGCCTTGAGGGACCAAGAAGGCGGCACCCCAAGGAGACTCATTTCCCCATCTCGAGACTCAAGAGTCTGAGGAAATGTGGACTGGTGGCTAGGATCCAAGGAATCGTCTTAGTTCGAGGCCAATGCAACGGGGAGAGGATGTTGATACCCGAAGTCGACTCTCAAGTAAAACAGAAGAGTGCATTAAATGTGAGCAAGACATTTGATAGGACCTGCATTAAAGAGAGAACACCATTACTCCTTCGGACCAGAGGGCAAAGCGCCTCGACCCACTTGCCGTTGTCCCATCTGTCAGGGGAAGAGGTCCTCAAACCTACAGGCAAGAGAGCGCTCTCCCCTGTGACTAGCGGACATTGACCAAAGTAATGAGCATTATAAATAGGGGCATTAATCAGCCTTTAAGGCAGAGGGTGAAGACTCTTAACAACCAACTACTACCGAGCTCGAGTTACTTGGGTATCAATCACTGCCTCCCTTTTCTCAATCTCTGACTTTAGAGAGTCCCTTGTATTTGCTTGGATCCCCACTTGGATGTGGAATAATCTCCTCATCCTACAAAGAAGTACCATCAACATATATATTCTAAAACCTGCTACTAACGTATATTGCCATGATCAAAGCATTGTTCTTGTTTGTATCTCTTATTCTATATTCTATCTAATTCCCATTTTGTAGCCGCTGCGCACCGTTGGGGATGGAGTTACTTGGATGGTTTGTACGAGTACAAAGATGGAGTTCTTGTTTGATCAAAGAACCCTCGGGGATGGAATAATCTCCTCATCCTACAAAGAAGTACCATCAACATATATATTATATTGCCATGATCAAAGCATTGTTCTTGTTTGTATCTCTTATTCTATATTCTATCTAATTCCCATTTTTAGCAGCTGCGCACCGTTGGGGATGGAGTTACTTGGATGGTTTGTACGAGTACTTTTGTTTCACTAATTACTACTATTCTAGATACATTGATTATTTGGATTTGGACTACAAGATCAAACCAGATAATAGAACAAGATTTAACCAAATCTTACATAAAGTGTCTTAGATTCTGTTCCACCGCTTCTGATACACATGAAGTAAACCTAGTTGCAAGCAGAACCAAACTTGCTCAACAGAATGGCTAAGCTAATGCAAGGTCAAAACAAGTAATTCATAAAATGGTTAATGCATGAACTATGAAACATGCTTCCAAGAATAACACCTAATCCAGCAAATCACATTCTAAGATATCACCTTGCCAGTATTTGTTTGTTTTATACTTGAGATTGAGCCAAATTCATGAAAAATGCAATCAACCCATATGAGCTACATAGTAGAGACACAGACACACTTAAGCATTCGAGAACATTTATTTCATTAGCATTTATTTCATTAAGAGAATAGACTGCAGACACACCAACACAGACAGAAGGCCATTGGCCACTTAAACTAAAGAAACAGTTTTAAAACACCATTTAGCAATGGCATAAAACAAGACAACAAAGAACCACACAAAGAACACGACCCAAGACGAAGAACATCATCACCATCATCAGACCCTAGAAACCACCACGGAGACGGAGGACCAAGTGCAGGGTGGACTCCTTCTGTATGTTGTAGTCAGCCAGAGTCCTTCCATCCTCGAGCTGCTTCCCAGCAAAAATCAACCTTTGCTGGTCTGGTGGAATCCCCTCCTTGTCCTGAATTTTGGCCTTAACATTATCAATGGTATCCGAACTCTCCACCTCCAAGGTGATGGTTTTTCCAGTCAAGGTCTTCACAAAAATCTGCATCCCACCACGCAGACGAAGCACCAAGTGAAGGGTCGATTCCTTCTGAATGTTATAGTCCGCCAACGTTCGACCATCTTCCAATTGCTTCCCAGCAAAGATCAGCCTCTGCTGATCTGGTGGAATGCCCTCCTTATCTTGAATTTTCGCTTTCACATTATCTATGGTGTCAGAGCTCTCGACTTCCAAAGTAATTGTTTTCCCAGTTAGGGTCTTCACAAATATCTGCATACCACCTCTCAGACGGAGCACCAAGTGCAAAGTTGACTCCTTCTGGATATTGTAGTCCGCCAGAGTGCGGCCATCCTCGAGCTGCTTGCCAGCAAAGATGAGCCTCTGCTGGTCAGGTGGGATACCCTCCTTGTCTTGGATCTTGGCCTTGACATTATCAATGGTATCGGAGCTCTCAACTTCAAGAGTGATTGTTTTGCCAGTCAAAGTCTTGACGAAGATCTGCATACCACCTCGGAGACGGAGCACAAGGTGGAGTGTAGACTCCTTCTGGATATTGTAGTCCGCCAAAGTGCGGCCATCCTCGAGCTGCTTGCCGGCAAAGATGAGCCTCTGCTGGTCAGGTGGGATACCCTCCTTGTCTTGGATCTTGGCTTTGACATTATCGATGGTATCGGAGCTTTCAACCTCAAGAGTGATTGTCTTGCCAGTCAAGGTCTTGACAAAGATCTGCATACCGCCTCTGAGACGGAGCACCAAGTGGAGGGTGGACTCTTTCTGAATGTTATAGTCTGCAAGGGTTCGCCCGTCTTCAAGCTGTTTGCCGGCGAAGATCAGCCTCTGCTGATCCGGTGGGATGCCCTCCTTGTCTTGGATCTTGGCTTTGACATTGTCGATGGTGTCAGAGCTTTCGACCTCGAGGGTGATGGTCTTGCCAGTGAGGGTTTTCACGAAGATCTGCATCTGTTGCACCAGAACAACAATTAAATCACAAAAAATCTAAAAAACAGGGTACTATCATAGCACATAACAGGGTATAAATTAAACTCAGAAAGTTCCTATAAATTAAATACAAAGGACAGATCTAACTTATAAATTGTAAAGATTAATTATAAAGATTTGTTAAAAATCAGCCGATCAAAAGATAACTTTCAAAAATCAAGATCTAAAAAAAAATAATAATAATAAAATAAAAATTTAAAACTATCAGATCTAAGAAAAGAGAAATTAAATAGAATCAAAATAAATATGATAGACAACTAATTAGAAATCCAATTACTTTTATCCTTCGATAAAAGGATTCATTCTCTTCATAATAACAAAATAATCAAACAGATCTAACTAAGAACAACAAAACAGTAGAAAAAATTTAAGAAGAGGAAATAAGAAACCCTAACATACCTTGAGAGATTGAGAGAGATTTGAGAAAGTCTTCAAAAGGAAATACAAAGGAACAAGAATGAAAAATTAGGGTCAGAAACGCCTCTATTTAAAGCTGCGAGAACCGACTTTGGATGAAATAATTGGTAAAGGTCATCGATGACGTGTAACGCGCCAACCCGCACGGCAAGCAAAGATAAGTAGTGGCAGTACCAAGCGCTTTTAAACAGTGTTTAACACGCGCTGAATTTATAGGTTGAAAAGTGGGCCGTACCTTCTTATAGCCGTCAATTGTGTATGGTTTTTAGTGTGGAATGTGATGTGATATTCCACGCGTTGTGTCTTGGGTGTAGGTCAGATTATTTATTTATTTATTTAATGATTATCTATCTGTTGGTAAACAAAGTGGTTGAACAAACGGAGGTGTCCCGGAAGATAAGTTCCGTCACCACATCTTTATGGCATATTTAGCCGTTAATTGACGGGAGTAGTTTCTTCTACTCCAACGTTGATTCTGCCTTGTGAGCATCAAAATTGACAAATCGAAGCAATTTGAATTTTTATTTATTTATTATTACTTTATTATTTTTCTTTAAAAAATCAACAGACTAATTTCATTTTCGGTATTATTGAAAATTAGGACTTCATATTTCTTAAAAAAAATGTAATAATGCAGTTGTTAAGGAGTAGTTTAGTTTCGGATCATGATTGAAAGTGAATTAAGATTAGACTATTAATTTTATTTAATAATTTATTTTTTTAATTAAATTACGAAACACTCTCAAAATATCAAGTTAGACCAATCTTAATTTAATATTTTAATATTGTGACGCGCGTCCAAATTGGTTGTTAACCAACATCTTAAATTAAATTTTGCGTGTTACCCTCACACCCATTCCACTTTCAAAAGAGAAATGATACAAGTTTGACCACTTTATCGGATCCTAAACACCTTTCAAAACAAAAGAAACAATGGACATCAAAGGTATCATCAATACAAAAGCAATATTCCCTCCACCTACTAACAATTTCTTTTATACCTAAAAATTTCTCTTCGACTTATAAAAAATAAAAAACTCTTTCAAAAAGAAACAACGGACAATTGATGCTTCAGAACATGGTTCTTATGGGGGGTTTTACAAAACATGTACCAATTACAAAACTAAAATTTTTAAATTAGGCACACTTTCTCTTTGTGGTATTCCATCCCTGGATTATTTTTGGTCTGAAGATGAAATTCTTATTGATGGTTGTATTCACCAGTTTTTGGACCACAGGATTAATTCCTTTTGGGACAACCATCACCATCATGCTTGCTTTAAAATGGGTCGGCCACATGAAATCTGTCTCTCAAATCTTTTCTATTACGAATCATTTCAAAGGATAAAATACCAACTACAATGGAGAAGATGCTACTTGAACAAAAACAAACAAAGCAACAAGGGAATGAGAAGCATCATTCTGAGAGACATGAATTTCTTTAGGAAGAACACATGAAGGAGATTAGCTTGACTAACTTCACAGAAAGGAAACTGCTACTAGAGCCACAGTTGCAGAAAATTATTATGAACTGATGTCTCGATCCCGAACCTCCACAGAGTGCTCAACATCCTGAGTAAAAAGATACAATTTGTAATATGAACTGCAGAAAAACAAGGACACCAAAGGAAATCTGATCATTTGAGCCAATTAAATAGATAGAGCAAAGAGTCCTGGAAGAACTTTGTTGTTAGGATGTCAGCAGAGAACATACAGAGACATGCAAAAAACAATAAAAGTTCACAAGTGAACATAAATCTTTTGACCAGGTTAACAATTTTACACAGCATGATAGGTCAGCCTAAAATCTGATTAGGGGTTAGATTGCTTTCCTTTAGAAGATGATAGCTGCTCGGCATTGGCTTCCGAAGAATAAGAACTTCTTTTTTGAATGTACATTATAATTGTTCTTCATACTATGGAGAAGTAGAAGTATCAACATAACATGATGGAGAAATATAAGAGACTATTGACATCCTCAAGAGCAATCACAAATGTATGAGTTTAACTGTCACATCTGTTCATCAAGAACAATAGATCATAGTGGTATAAACTAGCGCAGCAGAGAATGTCAGCATAGATAGGATTTCTTAGTATGGCAATGCAACATTCACCTCATCCATGAATATGCGAGGTATATACTTTTGGAAGTAGGAGCCGAGAGGAGGAAGCTTACCATGTTCAGACCATAAACGAGTAACCAAAACAGTAGACAAGTTTCCTTCTTGGCATAAATGAGGGCAACTAGAGTCAGCAGTTTTTCAGGATAGAATTTAGACGCCTTATGAATTGGTCCTTTGTAAAAGGAGAATGATTCCAACTGAGGGATTGTCTTTTTCTCCCTTGCAAGATAATGAGGGACAATTTTTTAGAAGGCTCGTAAAGAACTTCCAGCCATTGGCACAGATAAACAGAGCAGCGAAAGGATGAAAGAAGAAAAAATATATAAGTATTCAAAAGAGACCATGAAAAATTAGGCCTTAAAAGAAGTATGACACAATAAGAAAGTTTCAGTTCAGAGGAACATAAAATTTCAGAGGGAAAGAACAAAGTTGCACCAAGGATTGCCCTAGCACATAGAACTGTGGCAATGATGTCCTCAGCCAGGGAGCTAAATGCTGATAAAGGAGTTTTTTCAGTAGTAAGAGAAAGCATCTTATAACATGCTGCCCTAAGAAGATGCCATATTAAGTTAATGTCCATAGATCAGAATCAGGAAGATTAAAGGAGATTTACAGATTAATGGCTATGGTAATGGAGGCAATGGGCAAAAAATAGGAAACATCATCTTCCCACCAAATAGTCAGAGAAAGAGCAAAGCACATGAAAGCATACAAAAAATGTGTCACGAGAACCATAACTAATTGTACAATACAGCAATTAATGTAGATTCGCTTAACAAAATCCAAGATATTCAAAGGGTGTCATACCCATGTGGATCCCAAGCTTCTATAAGCGCTAACAATCTACCATTCCATAACGACTTTCTAAGAAATTCTGTCACTTCCCAGTCTCTCTTTCTCAGCTGACTTTCATTCATTATCACTCCACCTGAGAAGTTTTAAGAAATTTTGGAGTAAGAGCAGCAATGAAATTCAGGCAAATCTCCAATTAAGAACAGTACCATTCTGATTCCTAGTTAGGATTACTTTATTTGATATATATAAAGATACATATATACAAGGAGAAACTCTTCCAAGAGGTTGAGGAGGATGGAAGTGTATGGACAAATGATTCTCACCTAAGAGAGCGGAAACACAATCTCCAACTTAAAAGTGGAAGCAAATGGAGTTTATTTTCTTAAAAATGTAAAGTTTAACCTACACCGTGTCGCGAAAAAAAAGTTGAAAAGAAGATAATGTAATAATAACTAAAATCATTCTAAAATTGACATTCCAAATGCACCCACACACACACACACACAAAAATAAAAAATAAATAAAAATAGATACAAGGTATGATCTGATTTCCTTACCAATTGCATTTCTCCCCTATGCTCTTGCCAACACATTGTTTTATATTGCAGAACTGCATTTACAATATGAACAACCTTCACAGCTATCTAAAATCCAAATGAATCTTATCGAAATAAAATAGCATATAGCTTGACCGCGAGAGTGTCACTCCATATGTACATTAGCTGAATTGGATTATTTGATATGCACATCCAGTAACATAGATTTCAATTTGGAAAATCACATATGGTTATCTGCAATTGGGACTCAGGCACATATTGTCTAATGAAAGCTCTTCTCCACCAAACTTCAAATGCTCTCTGAATATTGGGACAGTCATCTCCTTTATTAAGAAACCGATCAAACCAATTAAGTAAGATAGCCTGTTGTTGTGGCAATGGCAGCGTAAGAATTGTTTGGCATAGTCCGTCCTCAACTAGTTTCTTGTCGACCGATCTACTAGCCCTCCTCATCCACCCAAAGTCATCATAAAGAGCTTCCAACCATGTGGACAGCAGAGAATAACGCGCGTCTTTTGGCACCAAAATATGCCCTCTCCCAATTGCAATACACAGTTGTGCTGTGATTCTGCTGATTTCATGCCGGTACATGGTGGGAATTTTCGAATGGAGATTAGCAAGCTCCTTCTGATCCGCCCATAATCTAACAAATTCATCCCCCATTTTTTTGTTGATTAGAATATCAACAATCCACTGCATATTGTCAGCTTCTCGAGCTATCTCACCCATCAAAACCCACCGATCCCGTCTGCTGTCATCCATGCCTGAAGCTTCTGATAAGCAGAGTATAAGAGAACTAACACATCTATGGCAAAGGTTATAAAGTGTATCTTTAGAGATATCAAGCCTATTCCCATATTTGTTGTGATAGGATGTGTCTTCTCTAAGCAAGTGAGAAATCAGAGTTTTCATTTCTCGACGAGCTTTATCGTCCTTGGCCTGTAGAACACCTGTCAACAGTCTCAAGAAGATGTCATCAGCACTTGAAGATGTCGATGGTTCAGTTGATACTCTCTGCAGAACATGAGTCACTGAGTCAGGAAGTTGGAGTTGACTGAGATGAGATATCACCTTTTCCTCTTCTTCCTCAGACCAAGGAACTGCTTCCAAATAATCTAAGCATGACTTTATTCCAGCATCGAACATGATAGCAGCAGACACCTGCAACAGTTAACCAATAACCACTTTACACAGTATAACAAAGTGAGAAAATCAACAAATGAACATTTTTAATCCCCTAAGCTTAATAATAATAATAGGACATGAACATAAAAATTTATCCAAATCTAAAATCTGTTCATCTCTTAATTCTCAAGCCAATAATCAGTTTATGTTAACACAGTTTTGCTTTCCTTAGTTTGTTACCAAGAAGACTGAGGAAAAGAATTAGAAGAAAAGAAAATTTTAAAAGCTTTTTACTTTTATCTAGTTCTGGTTTCTACATAGTACAAATATCACATTAACTAAGCCAGGTACTTGAAGGAGCTTCTTAAAGCAGGAACATAAATTTTCTCAGCGACCAAACGAATCATTTCACATCAATTTTGAACTCAGAAAAGAAGAATCAGAATTCCTCAAATCCATTTCACATTAAATTATAAACCTCTCCCCCGAATAACCATATCCAAACCCAATTAAATTCTCTCCAGAAAATTAAATTAAACCACCTAAACAACAAAGAAACCGTACTCAAACACCATAAATACAGAGAAAGTAAAGACACGTACCTTCAACAATCCCAAGACCTTAATGACTTCCTCTCCCATTAATTTCCTCTTCAAATCCTCACAATACATCAACACCACAGTCTCAACATAAACCTCCACATCGTCACAATCACAAATCTCCACCGAATGCGACACCTCCACAGATTCCCGCCGTAACTTATCCGCAAAAAATCGGCTCCGATCGGCAAGAACTCGCCGATGCACGTCCATCGAAACCCTATACCCGTCACGCGCAGTGATCGTGAGCTTCACGTCCCCAAAACCGCCCCAATTGCTAGGGTTCCGGAAGGGCGCGTCGGCCAAAACCCTAGAAACGCGTTCTTGGACCTTCTGGCGATTCTCGATCGACTGCTTCGACTCCCGAGTCTGTTCCTCGGACATCATGTCGAACAGAGTTGGGCTCGGGCGGCTCGGGCTGGGACGATTCGGGATGGGCGAGTCGGAGAAGGAAGGCGGAGGGGATAGAGAGTGGGAAGGGGAGAGAGAAACCCTAGAGAGAGAGAGCTGGGATCGTGCAGAGGGAGGAGAGAGAAAGGTCTCGGAGATGAAGCCTTGCTTTAACATTGTGGAGACTTCTTTGGACTTGCTGTAGGAGTGATTGTTCTCGGCGGCCATTGCAAAAGCTTAGAGAGAGAGAGTAGAGTGAAGCGGGAATGCAAGAAAAGCAAGAAGTTGAAGACCAGATATTGAGCTTTGGATCTGAAAATTAGTGGAAAAGATAGTGATAGTGATGATAACTGTAATTTAGTAATAACTTAATAATAAACTATAAAAACGGTTCATTAAAAAATAAAAAAAATTTGGCGGGAGAGATTATTGGGTGGAACGTGGTCAACTTTAGTCCTAAGGTGTGCCAATCAGATTTTTATTTTGTTATGCAATCCGCTCTTACTTTATTTTACAAATTTAGGTGATTTACTTATCATTTATCAAATTGAGATTATCATAATTTCATGGGTCTAATTAAAAATTTAAAATACATAAGAATTATTTTTCTTATTTAATTAATTACCAGATAGTCTATGGGGAATGTGAAGTAGACTAGTGTAACAAGAGTCATTTGTCTCCCATTATATTCGGATGGAAAATTATTTAGTATAAATGGGTAAGCGTCCGCCTGTTATAGTTGGTATAAGAGTCCGACCTAATTTTTGATCCGGTGTTACGTTAAATGCACGGCCTAGAGCGCATCTGGGTTTATAGTTCGGGTTAGCTGGGTGGCCCAAGTCGCAACGAGGCGTTACAAGTTTAGATAGGAGAGAATGTAACAAGGATCGTTTATCCCACATCAAATTCAAATAAAAAAATAATTGAATATAAATGAATGATTATGCCGCACAAACTAACCATGTGAACTCAAAAAGTGTGTGCTAATGCCCCCAGGACACGGTAGAGTTGTTAAGATAATAACCAGGACGTCATCATGTCTCAGTGTGAACTCGTCTATGTACAAAGGGCACTACAATTTGGCCTAATTGTAAATAAACCTGAAAGTTTATTTATTATTTTTTTTTTTCTGTCATCAGTGTATAACCCATACCGGTCTCAGCCTCGGCTTGCACATGATCTTCAATGGAGTTTTAGTTCGATTCAAATAGCTTCGGTTTGGAGCTGGTCGGCTTCAATGGCCGTAGCTTGCCTATTTCAATGTAAACCAACAATCTGAGCTTCGCCGGAATCAATGGAGGAATCAGCTTGGGTCTGTTCTCTATAAGCAATTAATTAGTTAAATTAAAATTTTAATCCTATATAATTACCTCAATTTTCTTTCTTTGTTCAAAATATGTAATGTATTTATTAGATGATGAGCGTTGTATCCAACGAGCTGGGAAGGTTTCCGTTTATACCTAATCATTTCTCAATAAAATCATCCAACCCATCAAGAAAACCCCATCAAGATAGGAAGGTTTCATTGGAGTGTTCTCAATATAATCATCCAACCCATTCAGAAAATTTTATATATATATATATATGGAGATGGACAGGGTAAGCACATGACAATATTCTTGGCCGGGTACATGGAAATGGTGGGCAGTGATGGTAGGGTAGAGAGAAAGGGAGGGAGAGAAGGGTATTTTCGTACAGTAAAACATGATTTTTTTATTTTTTTAACACTTAGTTGACGGTTATTTTGGTCTCTTCAACCAAATTTGCTGACGAGAAATACTGATTTTGGTACTAATATTGAATCAAACTTTAGGAGAAATAAAATATATATATATATAAAAAAAAAAAAAAAAAAATCATCATCAGCTTTATACGTAATTAGACCAAACTTTAAGAAATATCACTGTAATTTACTTTTAAAATAAAGTGTTCGCGGATGTTGGGTCGTGCTGTTCTGCTGGTGCTCTAGCTAGTAGCAAACAATCAGGACATTTATTGTGTCATTTTTATATGGGTCCACGAGTATATATCATCTACTTTAAGCTCTTTCAATGATCGGGGTAGAGTTAAGACCACGAAAAAATATCATCCTTAGGCTCTCGTTATTATAGAATCAGAAAAATTAATATCAGTTGTACACAATATTATTTTTCACATACGAAAATATTGCCTCCGTTCTAAAAAAAGTGTCAATGACAGTTCAATTTGTGAGAATCACGATTATTCAAAAGTGACACTTTTTATAGAACGAATGGAGTATTATTTCTTTAAATCCAATTCGTGACCTTCTGATAATAATTGAGCAATCTTATCCGAACTTTGATTTTATGCACAAATGCTATTTTGCTCAAGGTGTTATTGTTTTATATAATTAAGATAGCATATTGAAAGTGGTGGTATGAATCTAGATTCTTTCTTTGTAGTTTCAACCTTCTATCGTATCGTGTAGTTTTACATAACTTATGCAATTTTATGATGTTGTATTTCATCAATTGTTATTGTACTTGCACTAGCCCGGGACCAAGAAATAGAATCCCTATATGATGTTATCTTCATGGATTAAAATGCAAAATGGTTGAAGTAAATAATGAAGGTATTTTTTACTCACAAAGAAGGTTTCATTTCTAGCTTTTTATTTGGCCTGCAATTCAACCTACATTATCATGATACTGATAAGGCTTAATGATCAAAGCTACATTATCATGATGCTGATAAAGCTTAATCATCAAATCTCCTTTCACCTTTATCTACTATTTAACATGTCACGAACAAACGTCGTATGAGAGTGAGAATATATATATATATATATATATATATATATATTATTAGTGTGTTTGCAGATAAAATCAACTTTTATATGATGGGTTTGTGAGAGTACGTAGTTGAACATTCCCACATACAATAATTATTCAACGACAATGTGTGACACTCTTTAGCAGTTTCCAGCTGTCCCATTCAAACCAAATTTATGATTTGTTAATATTGTTTCCTTGTTCTTACTGAGTTTCGGTTTTGTTTGTCTTCTTTCCCATTTTCAATCATAATAACTAGATCTAACAATACCTTCCCCTGTCTTTCAATTGAAGTGCTTTGGAAAATGCTTTCGAATTCTTTCATGATTTTTAATTTTTTCTTTTTTTTTTTTTTTACTTTCTCCAACTAATTATTTTCGTATTGTAAATACCTAAATTAGAATCGCTTGTTTGGTAAATATTTTATTTTTAATGCGAAACAAAACAAATATTTTGTTATAAAGTATTTTGAATAGTAATCGAAAGTATATTTGCTGACATCTATTTAGTGCAAGATTTTTGAAAGTAAAAATATTTTTGATAATATAAATGTTGCCATTTGAAAAATATAATATTTAATTTAAAATGTAATTTAAGAATTTTTCAAAAAACAAATTTATTGTTTATATAGTGTAAAAACATCTAAAAACATCAAATTAGCGTTTTGACTTTTGACCATTCACTTTATTCACGAAACATTTTAAAACTTTACAAAATAAAATATTTTTTTATCAAACACGTTTTATCCAAAAACATCGTGGCAATATCCGATAGTATATATGTAACAAATTGGGATTATCTCAAATACTTTTTCTCTCTGTCTTCCATCTAATGATAAAAAGTAGGTTAGACCGACTAGTTTGACCCCACACGCGTTTCTTGGATTCCAAGAATTGTAGCAAATTGTTTTGGGTAGTATAACAAGTTTTATGGTCGATATATAATTTCTAATAATATGGACTATAAAATTGTTTTGACCCCACATGCGTTTCTTGGATTCGCAGAATTGTATAACAAGTTGTATAGTCTATATATATAATTTCTAATAATACAATCTGACAGCAAGGCGCCCGTGGCCTAATGGATAAGGCGTCTGACTTCTAATCAGGCGATTGTGGGTTCGAGTCCCACCGGGCGTGATTTTCGGCAAATATTTTTTGTTTGACCAATTCCTTCTCCTGGTTAAGGGCGTATATAATCACTTTAAGACTCACTATTTATAATTGTTGTATGTGAAGTATTATTATTTACCCATCTGGAGATCCAAGATATACATAAATGAGCTGGTTACTGGAATAGACAAACAAGAGCAGCAAAACTGCTCTTCCATCCTTTTTAACTATGAGTACTTGTTTGTAAATTGTCTTTCAATAATTAATGAAGAACAAAGAATATCAAAGAAGCAGCCAAAATATCAAACATGATTGGTACATTAAGAACTAATAAATCCATGAAATATCTACTCATATGAAACAATAGTTGGCCAAGCTAGAACTTATAAAGCCATCATCTTGGACTTGAGTAGTAAATCTTTTCCTTTTTCCTTTTCACCGTGCTACGCCATACATATATGTATTTGCACTGTAGACAAAAACTAATTAACCTTTTTTGAACCGACGAACGACCTCGGACCATTGGCGAATTTCATCAGTTATAGTCGAAAAGAATTGTTTAACTTTCCCTTCTTGTGTATATCATGGTTTCTGGATCAAAACCTGGATGTGTTGTGTGTTTTTGTGAAAGTGAGAGCCCCAAAATGGTGAGGAACATATTCCCTTGGTCTAGGACAGCCTATGAAGAATGAATGTTTCGCAATAAGACTGAGAAAGGAGAAGCATTTGCAGTTCCCTTCCCGGAATGTTGTTTTGGATAAAGATGAGAAAATAAAAAAAACAAATAGCACAAGGTACCGGTCACCTTCATCCCCAATGGAAATGAACTGACACTACACAATTTTAACAATCAATTTGAAAGGAACATTGTTCTCGAGCCACTCTCTCCCATCCTTCTCCGGGGGAGTATGATGCAAATTTTTAACACATTTAGCACTTATTGTGTTAAATGGATATAGACACGAACACGAAGCATCACTAGCTGTTAAATGGATTATTCCAGAGTGTTGCTATCAAGTAAAAATGTCAAGAGGATGAGATTAACAAATCATAGCAGAAAAAGGGAGCATAAATTATAAAATTCTTCTTGTCTTTCCCCGCTACTTCTTGGTGCATAGAAGAACAAAATCGTGCCAAGAATGTTAATGGGGAGTCATGAACACAGAAGATTCAACTAATTTTAGCTTCACAAGAAGCAACACCGCCGATTCATGAAATGATTTGACTATTAACCATTTCTCATTTCTCTGTGTGGTTTTAACTCAACCACATCTACCATTGCACATTTTATCAAACATTCTCTTTGTAAAGAGTCTCATTGATTTTCTGATTGCATAGTGCTAAATGGTAACAATTCTCCCATATTTTCTTATGAGACAAACAGATTCCAAATGTCAGCTTATATCTTATCTATCAGCCTTGAATTGCCTAGTGCAAACAAATTTCTATGTC